ACATTTGACTGTTATTTACGTCTATAACCCGAGGCTCTCCACAAACGATACAAACTGCGCTTGCATGATGCGTTCGCATACTTTGCTATATACAGTTTCCTTTATCGCTTAAATGTTCTTTTTTTTATTTGCATAAATACTACATACTTAGTTGCATTGTCACGTGGTATAATTATTTATACATGTATACATCTAAACGTTTTGAACTCTTTCTCTTTCAAAAGTACATGTAGCTCTTGCATCTAAGCCTGCATGGCTTCCTCAGAGTAGTGCACATGGTTTAATCTTTTTCTATATCCTTAATTCCTTACAAATTCATCTAAGTCTAGTTCAGATAAATGGTTTGATCCCTCGTCTAGAGCTATAGACATGAAATACGCTTTTATGATTAAATCAAATGTCAGCATATCAGATTCTTGGCAAAGGTTTGATGACCTTTTCTAAGTGTTTTAGAGACATCGTTCTTGCTTGTTTTGTTTTTATACTGGATTTGACTACGGAATATTCCATCTACCTCATCAATACATAGCGCTCACGGCGGGTGTGACCGGTCAATAGGGGATGCCTACTCCTCCTAAGCACCTGATCCCATCTCTGGAATTTCCAGAGGTCCGTGCTTCATGCCCTTTTCACCGATTTGTACTGTTTGTGAAATTTTTTGAGATCGATCACTGTTCGTTATCTTCACCTCTTTTATTGTTTCGGATTCTTGAAAAAAGTAACATTAATTGCACAAGGCGAAAGGTTAATGAAGTCTAAAAGTTAAAGTTGCAATAATGCGATTAAACATTAGTTTACTTTCGATCGTTTACGATTGTTCTATTAGAAACTTTCTTGTTTAAAGATACATTGAACGTTAAAAGTTGATTCTTTTAACCTAATTTAAATTGCAGTGCTCAGTGAAAGATTTTTCGGTGGCAAGCGTCTCTTGGACTAGGTGCACAAAGCAGAATGACAGACAAAACATATAACTAAAAGGTAAAATAAAATAAATAAATAGGTTGGTGGTTAACATTTAATGATATTTTCTTATAAATTTAAAAGCTATAACTCAAATCAAAGTAATAAGGCCATATATCTCAATAATCTCATCTCATTAAAATTTTATTTCCTGTCACGTGTATATGTAGCGTTATTTATTTTATATACGAATCTTGACACTTTGTTGCATTTACTCTTCAAGTGAAACAGAAACACACAGAGACTATTGTAATATCTTTGGCGACTTATACATGTATGAATGCTCCACATGTAGTACAAAGGTATAGCTATACTAGCAACATTCATTATTTATAATTCAATAATTAACTCTTAGTTTTATTAGTACCGGATTTCAGATAAAAGAGAAAAATCGAAGATTAGATAAATACGATTTATTATGAAAGTCAACAACGGATAGTCAATTCAATATTGCATTGTATGCGTCGTCCAAAAGTGCAATCTATCTATATGCTCACCTGCCTGTTACGGTTGCCGAAATAAAAGCAGTCTACTAAAATCTTACTTGGATTAATATGAGTATATATTACATATAATGTGCTTATAGAAGCTTATTTATCAGCACACATATGGTGTCAACGCCAAATTTTTGGACCTTTTAGATAATGCAGGGATTATTAGGGATGTGCGATTTTATCGGTATACCGGTATATCGCGATTTTTTATTGCGTGATACGTATCGCGATACGGAGACTAAAGTACCGGTATTTGGTACATAGTTATAAATTCCGGAAATTATTCATTTATTTGTTCAAAGTACTGAATGACAATTACAGGGAATGTAAAAAAATGTTGAAAACAGTAACGACATTCAAACATGTCTACATTAAATAAAAAATAAAATAAAAGGTAAAGTTATGTTTTAGAGCATATTTTAAAGGAATATTATGGGAATTCTTTTGAAATTGTAAAAATTATGTGTTTAAAAATATCACGATTTATCGTGATATTTTTGGGAAAAAATCGTGATATGTCACGATACGAAATTTTTGCCGATACCCATCCCTAGGGATTATCTATCCTAAAATTATTTTTTTTATTAAGTTTTCATTGCTAGACATTTTTAATGTGATACAATGCATCTCTCACAAAGACTTCCTGGAGATAATATCAAAACTGTCAATTTTGATAGAAATGTATTCTTTAAATTTGTACATGTATATATTTAAAAGTGCTGTGAAACGAATGACCTTTAATTGTAACTTAAATGCCCCAGAAGTAATTTTACATTTTTGGTCTTAGGATCTCAAAACCCTACTTGAGTAAAATTCTCTAAAATCAAAGAAAAATGTCAATTTAAGCCAAAAGAATATGAATGCTTATGGCTAAAAATTGGTTAAGTGCTAATCAAGCCATTTGAATCACAGAGTTATTAGTGTAAGGTATTATATAATTTATAAATGATTCGTTGCAAATTTTAATTTTCAAGCATTTTCGTTGCAAATTTTAATTTTCAAGCATTTTCAAAATTTTTCAGAATTTACAAAATATTAGATGTGACCGGAAAGGTTTTTACATTCAAAGTCATGAAGGAAATATATAAAGTTAAAGAATTAAATGCATTTAGATATTCGTGAAATGAAAAAAAGATAGAAATTTTAATGCAGTAATGTCCATTTCTTCATGAAGTAGTCAAAATGGCCAATGACGACGGGTGTTTATGCCTTGGCAAGTAAACTTATTTTTTCCTGCTTCCATGTTTGATAGTATCATTCAAGTGCCGAGATTTCATGCCAAATTGAAGTAATAAAAAATAGTGGCCTTGTGCTTTGTCCGAACTGATTTTCTTTTCTTGTTCTCTGGTTGGTTTTATCACTCAAATGCCGAAGTACATGTGCTAAGCTTTAGCAGCATTAATTCAAGTCGTTGGAAATAAAAGCGTTGAAATCCATTAGCGAATATATTGGTCACTAATGAAAATCCGGAAGCAGGGGCTGCGCCTAATAAACGGACAGTTCCCTAAATGTGACAAGAAATATATAGGAATTGATGGATTAGATGTTCTCCATGGCTACACTGCTGTTCTTAAATTGTTTTTTTTTTTGTTTTTTTGTTTTTTTTTTGTTTTGTTTTCTGTTTTTTGGGGTAACTTTTATTTTGGTTGCTGTACTTTCAGTATCGATGTTGCTCTAAGATTTGGACGGTTCCTTTCAACTTTACGTTCTATTCTCATAAAATCATCACAACATACGAACAGTTCTATAAAAGGATCTGTCCAGTCAAATAGCCATCTGCCACTGAAAATTTAACGGGTGAATAACATACAATATTGGAGAATTAAAAATCCAATATTGTCCGGTTTTATTGATTTTTCTGTTTCTGTCTTCTATAAACCTGACGTCAGACACAAATAACACTTCAAGGAAGGATCATGCCGAGAAAATGACCACAGTAGACAAATATTAAGGGGGAGATAAGAGAGTTTATACCGCGCAATTGATTGTGTAAATCTTGCTTTTATTGTTTGTTTACTTACGATTGACCGCGATAATTTCTTAACGTACTTATAGTTATTTATTCGAACACGTTATTACTTTCTTCATTTGTGTATATTGAATCCAAGGTTCTGGCTCGTTACAACTCCCCTAGGAACGTCTATGGTTTAAATGAAATGTCAATGTTATGGTAAGTAAAATACAGTAAATAGAATAATTAAATATGTATAAGAAACGTTGCCATCTATTTCGATACTCTCCACAGGAACCCCGTCTTAAAATAAAATGGTTAGGGTAAGTGAATGCTCCTTAATTGAAAAAAAATTAAAGCTTTATTTTCACCAGAATATATTTTAATTTTATCATTCATTCAATCTAAGGTAAGAAAAATGTATATATATATATATATTAATAAAAAGATGATAAAGGTACCAAAGCTTTTAAATTAGCTAACATTCACTACAAGTCGTATTCAGCATTCTGTTTCAACATTTTTTCTCTCGACATGTGTTCGATGATCAATGTGAAATGCTTGAGTAAACACACATAAGTCATTTTTATGACCTATCAACAAGGAAGCCTAGTAAAGAAGGCATAAACATTCTTTCTCAAAAGTTTTTTTTTTCATTGCATGAATGTGTCTATTGTCTTGTGATTAACTGTAATATTGGTCTTGTTTAGCCGCTGAATATTTTTTTTCAACTGTCGTTTCTTGAATATGTAAGGACATTGTGCAGATATTTTGATTTCTGGATGTACAATGTACCTGTAACATAAACCTACATTGATTCTAACTTTCAAGCTACATGTATACTTTTTAATGTCCTTTTCAGCAGAATTAGGGCCTTTGAATTTTGAAATTTTCGTTATAAATTTCTATTTAACTAAAGAGGATTGAGGTTTTGAAATTAAAATGTTTGAATTTCGTCCCTTTTAGACTCACTTTAATCAAGTACAATTATTTGCGCGTTCCCGTTCATCAATTCAAAAGATATGCCATACATAATTATCTTTTTAAGAAAAAAAAAATTATATTAAGTTTTTGATCTTCCCCGTATTACGATGGTAAATGTAAGTAAATTAAAGATTTGTTATTTATATAATCAAAATTTGATACGAACAATATACAGTACTGTACATACAATTATGAAATTCTCTGACATACAGCAACTAAGAAGTATATAATAAATCATGCAAATTAATTATAGACAGTGATGTATTTTTCGGTAGAAATTCTAAGAATAATTTAAAAGCATTTTTGTATATATATTAAACTGAATTTTATTCATTTTGCATATAAATAATTTTTGATCATAGAGAAATCATAATAAACTTTTATTTAATTAAATAAATGTCTTTAAGAAACGTCTTAACATGCAAAAAGTTATTGTCAGGATTCATTTTTTTTGGGATGGGTGGGTGGGTTTACTACTAGAATATCGTAGTCGAACCTTGCAAATTAGAGCCTCTCTTTTTAATGCACCAAGTGTTAATAAACATTGAATTATCACGAAGTCAACTTTCTAATATTCTACTTGCAGAATCATGTGAGAGAGGAAGAAAAGCTGTCAATATGAATAATTCTTCTGGACACAGCGCAGTTGCCTACAAGACACACCCAGAGTTCATAGCATCAGAACAGATATGGATTTACGTGTCACCTATTCTGATATTTATAGGAACTATCGCCAACACGCTGTCGATTATAGTATTGCTGCGCAAACGAATGCGCACTTCAACCACAATGTTCTACTTGACCGTGCTTTCGTTTGGCGATATGATGGTGCTATACACAGGATTACTTCGATACTGGATTAAATCGGCTTTTCACGAGGACATCCGATTAATATCGGAATTCTCTTGCAAAATTCATGCTTTCCTTGTTTATTTTTCTCTGGATTTTACCACGTGGGTGTTAGTGGCAGTCACCATAGATAGATGTATATTTGTGTGTTTACCTTTTAGGGCCAAAAGACTTTGTACTTTAAAGCATGCCAAGATCGTTGTGATTGGTATCGCTTTAGTTATGACTGCCCTGAATTTTCAGCTATTTTGGGGTGTGTCATTTGAAGTGCAACTAGGGGAGTTAGCCTGCACACATGTAAATGATTTTACGGAATTTGCTTGGCCTTGGATCGACTTCTGTATGTTCAGTATAGTCCCGTTTACTATCATGATCATAGCCAACATACTCATCATTAAAAAACTATTTATGTCACACAAGCGAGTGGCGTCTCATAACCATGAGGCAGCCCATTCGGAACACAGCGAAAGCGTCATGAACCATTCCAATGGGCATAGTGTTAATGTACATGCAAAACAAAGAAAAGTTCCGAGTGTTACAACGATGTTGCTTACGACAAACTGTGTTTTTCTGGCATTAACTTTACCCATTGTTGTGTACCTCATTGTATACCCTTACGTACTTTATGACGCCACGGACCACGTGACTGCTGTTTTGCAGTTGCTATGGGCAATTGCTAATATGTTTCAGTATACCAATAACACAATCCATTTCTTTTTGTATTGTATGACTGGACCTCGTTTCCGTCGCGAACTTTTTAAACTATTTAATATAAAGACAAGGTCATCGCACGAGTTAACAATGACCATGGAGATGCATTAGAATTAGAAACTGTAGAGCCAATAAAATTATAATTTACCATTACTTAAGATAATCTGATTTAGAATCACTTCATCATGTTCGTTACAAATGTCATCTACAACAAATAAAATCAATCTTATTGCATTCCTGAAGCCTATGGTATGAATGAAATATGCGGCAGATGGATTTGTTTGCCTTGATTAGAACTTACCAAACGACCGAATTCTGCGGTGTTTTTAATTATCTTTTTTGTTATCTTAAATGTAACATTTCTTGTAATCTTTCAATTCAAATACTTGATTAAATGTTAAATTACAATTTCTGGATTAACCCCATTTGGTTGCCTGTTAATTTAAAAAAAGATCAGTATTTAGTGGTCTGGATTATTCAATACTACAATTTGTTATTAAAGCTGTATCGGCATGAATTTTCTTCTGTAACTGGCTGAGGTGCATTGTATTGTGTCTTTATTTTGATTCGTATTCTAGCTCAAGTAAGTATATTTCTGATCTGACAATTGTCGAATGCTCTAATTAAAATCTGTCTTTGAAGTTTTAAAATTTATCAGAATTGTGGTAACTTGGTTAGTATAATTTCATTTAAGGTCAGACGACACGTTCCTCAAAAATTATATAACTTTCCCCAATTTTTTTTGATTGAAGTATTTTATACTTTAAGATGTTCCTCACCAAAAATTGGGGTACATTACCAGGCATTTGTGCAAGATTCTGGAGGATGGTATTTCCTATATAATCCTATATAAGAGATCACTTGAACTGCTGATATCACTATTTTTGGTCTATATATTTTTCAGACATTTTGAAAATAGTTAAGAAGTCAAAATATAATGACAATTATAAATACTTTTGGTATATTACAAAGAAATGCAAAAACAGATATTCGAGGAACGTGTCGTCTGACCTTAAAGGATTTGAAAACTGCATACAAAGTCGTCCAAAGGTATCACATCAAACAATGATTTAAACAAAAAGCATTTAATTGAATTTTTAAATCTACTGAGAAAATGCAAAACACTAGTCAAATATTATGAATATGAGATCATAACCTTTATTGAACAAAATAAAAAGTGTTTTCATGTACATAATCTCCAACATATAACATTTTTAGGATAACATCCTAAGAATAAAAATTATAAAATGAAAAATTATTTAAAAAAAAAAATGGTCCAAATTTCCTCTGCATATACAATAAATCTACATTTGTTGTATTTTCCTCAAATAGTAAAATATTAAAATATGATATTGATACCATTCATTACATGGTTATTTGTCTGTTTCGAAAAAAAAAATGATTTAAGACTTAACTTATAAGTAATCTGTTTCGATCGATTAAGACCATGAGAACATGTCATAATCCTTAACAATTTGGGGAAATTTTGGTAGTTTTAGTGTGTGTCAAGATGGTTTATCTACTCGAGCTATCTTACATGTATAACGGGGAGTATTTTTTTTTAAATACTATTCGTGAAGGGAATAAAAATCTCGAGTTTTGCCGCATATTTTTTACTGTGAAAAATATCACTCTGATATTTTTCACTGTAAAAATATCACTTTCAAAAATACTCATGTATCACTTTATGGAAAAATTATTGTAACCCTATTTCACTGTTGAAAATATAACTAATCTAGTTCTAGTATAGCGCCATTTGATTGGATAAAATATCCTGATATTCTTTGTCGCGTACGTCATAATGACTTGCGACAAAAACATATCTGGCGTTTCCTTTAAATTTTGTACAATAAAATAGGTGAAGATAACGAACAGATCTAGAGATCGATCTAAAAATATATAAAAACAATACAAATCTTTGAACATGGTATGAAACACAGACCCATTAAAATTCCAGAGATGGGATCAGGTACCTAGGAGAAGTAAGCATCCCCTGTCGACCGGCTAAACCCGCTGTGAGCCCTTTGTATTGATCAGATAGACGGAGTAATCCGTGGTCAAATTATGCCCAAAATCAAAGATCTAATACTTGGTCTGAAAAGGTCATTCAATGATCGATTATATTTATTTGCTAACAAGGTCTTTTAAACGACCAAAGAATTAACGAAATGCTGACTTTTGATGAGATCCCTATTACATGTACATCAACTTATTAATAAGTAGCCCGCCTCGGTTTGAAAATTGATCATACTCAGAGCATGCTCTTGAGTATCGAATAACCTGGGAAACATGAAAAACATATGCAGTAATAGCGGAATTTTACTATTCTATATAAATAAAGAAAGTTGACAATGGAAAAGATGAATAATTCTCGTTTATCATAGTTACGTTTATTTGTTAGCTGGCCCTTATCGTCTATAGTCAGTAAAATATCCATAATGAATTCAAACAGATGTGGCAGACTCTGTGGTGTGACAATGAAAAAGCCTAAGTTATCTCGTTTGTCATACAGTTTAGTTGTTACTTGGCCCTTATCCTCTTAAGACATTAAAACATCCAAAGTGGAGTGGAAGTACACTGTAACTATTATCAATTTATAAAACGCCTTCGATATATCTGACTGCCTTTTATTATAAGTTTACTGGGATATATCGAGTCGACGTATGAATGGAAGTACATGTGACTATTGTTAATTGATGAAACGTCGTCGATATATCTTAATGTCGAGTTGAAAGCGACAGTAAATGTTTTCTTTTTCTCATGTAGAAGTTTTTGAATAAATTCTGTTCGAGAGGAGTAAAACAGGTTGGCTAGCAAAGGAGCATAGTTAGTGCCCATCGGATTTCCAAAAGATTGTTGAAAAGACCTATTCTCCAGAGACTAAAAAAGTGTTGTCAATGAAGCACTATAGCTATTTTTGATATCAACATCAGATTACTTATGCCAGAATCAGAGTAATTTTTCTCACAAAGTAATTCTGTAGATGATCATGAAAAAACACAAGATATGAAAATTTTAAAAATTGGATCACTCAATGTGTGATGTACATGTACTTATTTTTCTTAAGAAAAGTATGTCTGGTATCATTCTCAGAAGGTAAAATTGGGACTAATGCGTGCACTACTTTGTTTAATCCAAATAACTAATGAATTTTCAACATTTTTTTTTAATTAGCACTAGAAAAGGATGGAATGATTTTCTTTAAGAAATATACGTACTTTAAATTTGACGATATCAACTGTGATCCTATTAGAAGGGATTTATTTTTCATCAGTTTATTAAGTAAGCTGACATTTATGACTATGAATCAAATAATGCTATAAGGGTTGACTTCATGATTCAAGACTACTCCATTAATTTTCCTTCTTGACTGAACGAAATGAATGTTTATTATATACCCAACTGTTTGTCACTCAGTTTTACTGTTGAATTTACGCAATCACGTGACGGTGTGATCTGACGTTCCGGATCACCACACTGTGGTTTTCTGAATCCATATCACCCCTCTCTGAAACTGATGACGTAGTACACAGATAAATGACGTTTTTATTCTCGCGCATCAAAAAGTTCCTTGACAAAATGGTTTGTTTAATGGATAAAAGTTATGTAATTGATCCAAAAAAGTTTTCCTTTTATTAAACTTTGCTAGTTGTAAAGGGGTATATAATAAATTTATCATTATAACAGTAACTTGATCCGAAGAGCCGTATCACGTCTCGTTGACAGGCGCGGATCATCAGATCAAACTCGACGCTTCGCGTCTCGTTTGATCTGATGATCCGCGCCTGTCTACTCGACGTGATACGGCTCCTCGGATCAAGTTACTGTTATAATAATATATATGTACTTACAAATCATCCCGTTTTTTAGCGCAAATAAAATATAAAAAATATCTTTTTTCACCAAAACAAACTTCAAACAGGGGAGATATAATTTTAAAGGGGATGGGGGAGGATACATTTCTCTGTAGGATTCAAAATCATTTTAAGCGTTCTAAACTGTACACATGTGATAACATTTAACAACCTTTCGGTTTTGGGTGATTTGAAATTTTTAACTGGATAAAAATGAAGTTAAGCAACTAAATTTAGTGTGGAATCATTTGGAAAATCATAATCAGAACGAAAAAGGTGATTAAAATTCATTAAAAGCATAAAAAATATGAAAATTGATTTTTTTTTTATGGAAAATCTTGTAATCAAACTTTTGATTTTGCTATGAAAAAGGATAATTATTTAGAACCTAATTAAAACCAACTGCAAAGCCCTGAAACACTTCAGAAGCTTGGCGAACGGTAACAGCGATATACATGTAACACATAAAGCATCCGTTAGTTTATCGTAAATGATTTATTTTAGTTCAGAATGTTTGTTTACTTGAAGAATTTTTCCGCTAACAAGAAAGGAGCCAGACTTAATTTAAGTTTTTTTTTTTTTTTTTTTTTTTTTTTTTTACAGTTTCGCATCGATATCATTTGAATGCTAGATATATTTCAAGTGTTCCTTTTTCATTCATCTGTTCATTTTCTTACTTTCATCATCATTTCCAGGTATAATTTCTTGACTGTTTTCATTTTCATAATTTAACCTCTTTAAAATAAAAGGCTAATACGGCATATCTTAAATGTCTACATATAAACATAGTTCTACTCCAAGTTAATGTTATAATTACAAGTAGTATTTTTTTCTTTATTTGCTGCAAAATAAAATCATTTCTGATTTGCGTGAATGTATTTCCGAAAGAAAAAAAAAACGAAATTAAAAATCGTGTACTTCCCATTATTATTGACTGGCATTTAACTTTACACTGTATTTTCATAGGTTTCTTCCTAGTTCCTTTGGCTGTTTGATCATTTTGTCTAGCTAACAACGCGCGTAATTTAGATTTGTAGTCTGTTTTTTACACATCATCTCCAATAACTGATCACCATGCATGAGTGCATTGAACAAAATTCTTTGTTTACCCCAAGTCTAACTTTACAGGAAAATGCATTAAGTTTATTTTACTTTCATTACAAATATTACAATTTGATTGGTCTAGATGTATTTAATAATTTGAAATGTTACTTTAGGCATAAGCAACACAGTTGGCAATGGGTAACGCAACGATATTGTAACTTTCGGGTAATTGATGTGCGTACATTTCGTCGCAGATTTCTCAAAACGTCAGTTATGCGTTTGAAAGATTGATTTCAGTCAAAGCTTGCGTTCGATATAAGGTTTGATTGAACAGAACAAACGACAGACGAAAAATGCTTGCGAATGCAGACACAACGAAACTTAAACAGATAAAGCAGTCTGCGTATCAAGCAAACAATAAAGAGGTCGGTGAACCTTTTTCGAAACTTTCTTTTTGAGAAAAAAGGAAGCGAAAAAGTTTAAAAGCTGTTCATAATTAGAACTTAACGACAATATCCTAACCATTTTCTTGACATCATTCAATGAGACATTCAGTGTAATCAAATAAACAGTGCATGTTTTTGAGGGTAACGGTTGAAATTGACACCCCTCGGAAATCTATTGTCAACCCCCACTGACGCGTCAATTGACAATGGTCCTCTGTCGGAATGTCAATTTCAATTGTTACCCTACATGCACTATTTATAAAACATTCTATATACTACAACCAAAGGGTACCGTTTTAAGTTTAATGAAATTATACAATAATTACATGTAGATGGACACCGCCCTGCAGGCATCTTACTGAAAAAAAATAGATAACATTTAGAGCGTCTAACGGTGTGATTTAGATTTGGGTGACTACCTTTGATGATGAGAGCGGTGGTAGTTGTGGCACGCATTAAGAGGCTATCAAAAGAATCAAGAATTAGTAGCCCATGTTGTTGGCTTTTAGGAGGTATATTTCCTTAGAAAAGGGAGGGAGTGGGAACCACCTCAAAGAATTGAGATATGTTTTCCTTCATAGCTTTGAAAACACTGTAATTTCCGCTTTTCGAGCTCGAAGACAGGTCAGGTGGGGCGGATACTATTCTTCCAATGACTAAAGAGAGAGTTATAGAGATTGCAATCCAGTGGCAGTCCAACGATAGAAAGTCAGAAAGTCCAAGTCTCTAAAACTTATGACTATAAATAGGTAGGGCATGTAATACTTTGAGAAAGTACCTGAGTAATGAAGATAAGAACAGATCAAAATTCCTATATCATAGTCTAAACATACTGATAAAAATCCAAACCTCTGACTCAGATCACCATTATGGAAATCTGCCTTTGCTTCGCCTGTAAAACAGAATGAATCTGCCATGTGACCTATGGCAGCTGAGGGAAGAAGTAATCGAGGGCACATTTTTCCTTGATTTTCTAAGATCTAGAGTGGACTTCTCCGGGAGAGGTAGAGAGGAATGTCTTGCCCTTGTCAAAGGGGTTCACTGATGTCTTTCCTGGGATTAATCTCGTTTTATTCACCGAAATTAAGCATGTATCAAATCGATAGTGGTGTTAGCATCAGACTACCGCTTTGTTTTAGGGAAAAGAGGAGTATGTAGCGCCAAATTTAAATAATAAGATCAAATAACTGAAGATGTTTTAATTAATTATTTGAAAGATATCACCAATCAACTTGATGTGCATCACAACTCCATTTAAGATCTCTTAAAATAATGACATCTTCAATTCTGAATTATAACGTCCATTAATTCAACTGCTATTATAATTTATTAATTTATTATAATTAATTATATACTGATATAATTAATTAATTTGTTGCAATGATTACAGCAGTAATTGAACTGTTGCTCTATACAAATGATTTAATGATATAAAAAATTAATGTGCACAGTAAATCAGTTGAAGAGAACAGTCATTATATTACATGTAATGTTCATAATAATTGAATTATTGCTCTCTTCAATGAAATTATAATTGATGATGTCATTAATGATACATGTGTACGTGGGAGAAACTATTTTAAAATTAGTGATATCTTAAATTCAACATATCCATAATCAAAATATGATTTCTTCAATTGAATTTGTGCTCTCTTTGAAATAAGTGATCACGCACTAATACCTCTAATTAAAATCGTTATAAAATGATTAAAGTTACCCTCAATTGAATTAAAGAGATCAAAAAATTAAATCATTTAAACCGAGATCTAATTTTTTTTTTGGCCAGCAATAATTCCAACACATTGATGATGGCAATAATTGCATCACGGTCATTGCTCTCGTCAATTGAATTAATATAATTTATTGTTCTCATTCATTTAACTGATGCGCAGATCAATTCAATTGATGAGAGCAATAATTGATTTGACGCGCACATCAATCTAGTTACTGCGCGTAATATTGGAATTGTTAGTACTTTAAAATAATATCTTCAGTTCTTTGAGTTTCTATTTAGTTGGCGCTCCATGGTAGAGGACTATATTGACCAGGCACAGATATCCACACATCTTTCTTAGAAAAAGAAGTCTTAGAACTCCTGCTTGTTAATTACCAGGAGAGACAGAAGTGACTGTGGTGTATAGACTACATGTACCAAGCACTCAATAAGAGAGTCAAGAATACATACCAAGCTACTATAGGTTCAAGTGTGAAGGCATACACTAAGCGTTTTCAAACTTTCTATAGTTCTAAGCATTGCGGTGTCAACCTTTTTCTTTCTTTCTTTTGAGTGACCAAACATGTTAAGGATTAAGTTCAGGATTTGTGCTGCAAGGTCAGAGTTCAAAGTAGATCGTGAAATGCAAATTTAGCGGATTGTCCTTACATACCGGTATTTAATTTTTGCGATTTTATATTGCATTGAAAGATGACTTACATCCATTGCGGAAATATTTATTAGCGACATTCAGTTTAAGCGATATCAACACTCTCGCTAATAATGCCAAGATTGATTCTTGGCTGAAAAAGATTGCTTATATAGTGTAAAAAATACTGTTTATGTATGTTTTAATAGTTTAAAAACACGTGTTTTAATGTACAATCTCAAAATGCAAAATAATTTAGTTAATGTATCTTAATTTTATCTCTCCAGATTAAAACCAAAATGGTGACATGCACTGAACGAAAGGCCATTCATCTTCAACAAAGTCACTCTGGTCTTTGTGTTCCCGAGAAGATTTTTTAGAGGTTTTCAATTTCCCTGTTATCATCACTATGGCCCCACTCTTGCACCAAGGGCAATGACTTGACCAGACTTGCATCTTCACAACATGAGAATGACTATAAATCAATATGACTTGCTGTGGCCCTGCTGTTCGAGAAATTTCTAAAGGATTTTCGTTATATATTACCGAGTCAAAAATGGCTCCCCCTATAGGGCATACTTTAATTGAACAAATTAAAATGTACTTGGAAATCCTTGCATATCAACATGACAAACTTAAGCTGTAATCATGCCTTTTTTTTTAGAATATCCCTTAAGATTTCCTCCTGTATTTACATGTAGGTACCAAGACATATTTTAACACCCAAATGTTGACTCCAACCTAGCCCAAAGCGTCTTATTTGAACAAATTTTCCACTGTAAAACCCTTGACCTCGTATTGTAGCCAAGTCATCGATGTGGTGGCCTTAATTAAGCAAAAAATAATTTTAACTACTTGGGATTTCGATAGACTATAAACTTCTGTTCTAGAGAAAATTTTGTTCTGTATACCAGTGTTAAATTCTAGTCCCCTGATGTAGTCTGATTCTTTACTTGGGGGAACATAATTCGTACAACTTTTGAGTCTCTGCTAAATGGGGATGAAATATAATTATTATCATTAATTCTATCCTATCCCTTCTCTTCTTCAGATTTTCAATCATTTTCGTTTGATATTGTCATGTCAAAATTTTACTCTTTATTGAATTGCAGTGGTACGGAAGCCGGTTGGTGCCAGGTAGAAAAAATATTTTATCCGACGGCCGCCAAATAATTTTCTGGCGGCCTCCAGATAAATATTTAGCGGCAGCCAGAAATTATATGGCGGCCACCAAATAATTTCCTGGCGGCCGCCAGTTAACCTTCTGGCGGCCGCCAGATAAGTAATAGAAAATTATTTGGCGGCCGCCAGTTATTTATGTGGCGGCCGCCAGATAAAATATTTTTCTATCTTGCACCTACTGGCTTCCGTACAGTGGCCATGTTCTGAACAAATTCAATCTTGTTTGTGTGTTGCTATGACTAACCTAGCTCTTCTGTTCTTGAGAAGATTTTTAGCAATCCGTTTTTGCTTGCCCATGAGAGTTGTTGGATTACAAGGTTCAAGGATGACGAAAAGAAACAATTTCAGAATATGTAGTATCAGCTTTTCAGACAAATGTGATATTTATTTTTAAAATTCTTAAAAATTTTTAATTAGGAATTATTCTCCTTATAGCATGTTTCGCATATTTTAAATGTCCTGATATTTATTTTGAGTAATGATGTGTACACAGTAGTTTGTTTTTAGTGGACTTGTACGGTGGGATGTATAAGCTTCGCCAAGACCATATCGAAACTTTGGTGATAGATTTTGAGAATTTAGTTAATTGCAGATATAAAGTTTCATATTGTCATAACGGTTTACCTCATCCCACGATTAACAAATGACTCGTTCACCATATTCAACTATTAATTTTTACTTCCCTTTTTCAATACTTCACACTAAACGTACGTAGTAAGAATTTGAAGTAAAAATTAACGCCCATCTTATAATTTCAATTGCAGGATCATGCTTGGAATAACGTCCAACGAAATGAACAATTCCTCAGATCTCAGTGCGACTTCCTATAAAACACATTCAGAGTACAAAGCTGCAGAACAGATCTGGATTTACATGTCACCCGTTCTGTTGTTCATAGGTACAGTTGCCAACACACTCTCAATTATAGTGTTGCTGCGCAAACAGATGCGCAGTACAACGACAATGTTTTATCTAACAGTTCTCTCGTTTGGCGATATGATGGTGCTCTATACCGGTTTACTTCGACACTGGATAAAATGGGCCTTCCACGCAGACATCCGCGTGATATCGCAATTCTCCTGCAAGACACATACATTTCTTGTATATTTTTCTTTGGACTTTACCACATGGGTGCTAGTTGCAGTCACTGTAGATAGATGTATATTTGTGTGTTTACCTTTTAGGGCCAAAACAATTTGCACCTTAAAGCATGCCAAGATTGTAGTGGTTTGTATCGCTCTTGTAATGACTGCTCTGAACATCCATCTTTTCTGGAGTGTAGCAGTTGAGATGGAACTTGGAGAGTTAGGTTGTGCATATATGAATGATTTCACAAAGTTTACCTGGCCGTGGATTGATTCCTGTGTGTTTAGCATAATTCCTTTTAATCTTATGATAATAGCAAACATAATTCTCATAAAACATATATTAATGTCCCAAACGCGCGTTGCAGCTCACACGCAACATGGCGAAAGTGACGTGCAACAATCCAATGTACATTCAAAGCATAGGAAAGTTACAAGTGTCACAACAATGTTGCTGACGACCAATTGTATGTTTTTGGCATTAACTTTGCCAATTGCAATCTACCTTATTGTGTACCCTAATAAAATCCAAGACGCAACGGACCACGGAACCGCTGTTTTGGAGTTGATATGGGCAATCGCTAATATGCTTCAGTATACTAATAACACCATCCATTTCTTTCTTTACTGCTTGACTGGACCTCGTTTTCGACAGGAAATTTTAAAAATTTTCAAACTAAAGGCTATGTCGACATAAACTCGATTAAGCAATAATTGAAAAATGAAAGCTTAATTAAAAATTATTAATCAAGTTCGTATAATTCATGTATGTATAATCATGCGAAAATTTTTTGAAAATATTGACACATAATTAAATCAAATTTTGTTCCCCTCTCTTTTTTCGTATTTATCTGAAGAGTCACTTATAAACAAACTGATTAGGAAAATTTACGATATTTATTTTTTATGCAAATTATATAATCATATAAAATTGGTTAGAGTGAATTTGGATTTTTGATTCATTTCAATTTTTTCTGATTCTTTTGCTAAGTTATTTGAGATAGATTTTTATAAACGTCTGTTTAATAATTTGTATTTTAGGGGAATTTGAGTCGCTTTTTTTTGTTGTTAGTAAAGTTTAAATGGTTATTTTTAAAGTTATTGAATCAGTTCAAATCATATTGTGTATATAATATCTATATGTGAGAATGTTAACTAAAATAAAATAAGAATTATAATTATGCCTCCTGATATCTAAGTGGTCGGGCAAGAAGCATTCAAACTTAAGCAGTCTTCGAAAGTGTTTTCCTTTACACAAGCATATCTAGGAGGCAAAATGACTGTATGATTCCAATGTGCACTGTGCCCTCACTCACATTCTGAAATTCACGACAGGTAAAACAGGATAAATTTTCGAAATAAAATTTAGATTCATTTAATCCAACTTTATGATTTAAAATGATGATGATGTTTTTCCCGATCATGACAAGGAGCACACGGCGTTTGTGACCTGTTGGCAGGGGATGCTCACTTCTCCATGGCACCTGATCCCACCTCTGATGTTTTTGGAGGCCCGTGTTTGCTCTGCTCCCGATTTGTATTGTCTAAATGGACTTTGAGCTTGAATACTGTTCGTTATTTCATGCATTCTGTATATGTGTACAAATATCATAAAACAGTAATAATAATAAAAGGATTTAAAGAAGGAAAAGTAATTCGTAGGGTTACATTGCAAATGATTATACTTAGTAGCAGAGAAATTTAAGTTTTTGTTGATTAAAAAAGTCATGAAATTTATTTTCAGTCAGAAATTTGCAGCAGAGGGAAGAACTTAAAGGCTCAAATTTTAGAGATATTGAGAGTACATGCAGGATTATTGCTCTTTTATTTATCAAAATGAAGACAAAATGTGCCACTAAGTCCCAATGTAACGGAAAATTTGTATATAAGGAACTGATAGTATAGTACAGAAGTTATCTTTCTTTGTTGATGAAGTTTCTCGTACCATAAAGCAATTTTACTCCCAAATATCCTGGATCTCTACACTGAATCCCCGCTGAAGTGAATTCACTCTTCATCTTTCACCATACTGTAGATTCCTACATTATACGCGAGGAATTAATTATCTCGTAATTTCGTGAGAAATACTAAAAAAAATAATAAAAATTTCTTGCTTTTATTTTCATGGTGCTTAAATCCAGGTAAAATCTCTTGATCAACCGTCTACTCGCAAATTATTGTTCTCGCGATTTGACGTTGAAAACCCATTTCGCATAAGTACACGCCAAAAAATAAGGAATGTACAGTGTTGCCAAGTGAACGTTTTTCTTAAATTAAACACACACACACACACACACACACACAAACACACACATATGTGAGTGCAATTTTCAAATTGTAATCAACGGACAAAAATGTAGAACAGAAAAAACAAAAGAAGAATTTTAAACTAAACAAAAATGATTTCATTTTATATGCACTTGCTGGTACATGTAGCCTTATCACTTCTTTTTTCCAAAGAAGAAAATGAAATATAAGTTGGAGAATAGGTGGGTTCAATGAACTATCAAAAGTACAGTATTTTCTGGTTTTGAAGATATTTAAAACTTCAGCTTCTATAATTTCTATCTATGAATAGTTTGTCAGGCTCATTTTGGAGAAAAGCAAAAAAAAAAAAAAAAAAAAAAAAAAAAAAAAAAAAAAAAAGAAAGAAAGAAAGAAAGAAAGTTATTTACTCGTCTTGTTTCAATGAGTTAGTTATCACGTATAACGAGTTAGTTATACGTTACAAGGAGTTAGTATCTCGTTATACTGAGTTACTGAGGTATTAACTCGTTATAACTAATAAATTTTCTCGTGTTGACGAGTTAGCTGTCTCATTATAAAGTGTTTGTTATCTTGTTATAACGAGTTAATTTCTCGTTGTAACGAGTTATTGTCCCGTTATAATGAGTTCAACTTGGCTATCACGTTATAACAAGTTAGTTAATTTTTTTTTGCTTTTCAGATTTTTGGGAGGTAGCCCCCTTCTATTTTTGTAGAATCGTTGCTACAGATCTGTTGGAAAAGTAAACTATTGCATTGCTTTGTCAACATAAGAATCAATTTTATTTCCTGCGCTTGCGCGGAATTTCATCTATAACAGTCTATTTAAAATCCCTATATAAGCAAATATATATATCATCGCAAATGGTTCATAAAACTACATACTAGTAACCACAGGGATTTGAAGCCGTATTTACCAGAGGCTCAGTGCGCATGCAACGACGATTGTGACATCACAATCGACACATGATAACAATGTTGCCAAAACAGGTTTGACGGTTGGCAGCCAGCTGTTTGTCTGAGCGTAAAAAAGTATCTTGCAAGCTGTCATACTGTCATTGTCATACTATATTATAAAACAATCACCTGAAAAGCCCATACATGCAATTGTATACATTGTATTAATGAATACTTCAATCCAAATATGAAATTCATAGCCCATGGTTTAGGCCCTAGGATGGGATTTAGTTGTTCATTTATTAAAATTAAATATATTATACGTTAGAGAATCTTCCCTAGCCGGCATACTGTTTCAGTGATTATGACGAGTACCCGACCATCTACAGTGTACCATAAATTTTAAAGTTCATGGTTCTTTGGTGTAAATTGTATGTGTATTATTTGTTTGTTGTTTAACGTCCCTCTCGAACATTTTTCACTCATATGGAGACGCCACCACTTGCCGGTGGAGAGCTGCAAATTTTGACCTATACTCGGCACTCAGGGCCATTGAGCAGTCAGGGATCTTTTTTGTACCAGCATCTACTGCGACATTGGACCTCGGCTTATACGGTCCGGTCTCCACGCCCTGCAGTGGGATTCGAACCTGCGACGTAAGGTCAATTCCTTACTCCGGCGACCCTTGAGCAAACGCTCTACCACTGCGCCACGGTATGTGTTATTGAAAATACACCACATAAAGGAAATACACTACCTTAAAAGTCTTGTTCTGTACGCAAGGACGTTTAACACGCAAATTGTTTTATATGAAGCACTAACCCTTCAAGAAAATAATAAAATTCATGCCATCTAGCCCATGGGTTCCTTAAGTTTGTAGGCTCCAGGATGGGGCTAATTTGGTCATTAATGAAAACATACATTGCATCTTTGAAGATTGCATCTGTTTGCGTGATTATATAACATATAAATATGACCCTCTACTAAAATTTATATCCTACCCCGTACGTACTTGGTTGCTCAATATAATCATGCAATCAATTTGCACTGTACAAATCCACGAATAATAAAGAAAATTTTCAAATATGTTTGTTTGTTTATTGTTTAATGTCTCTCTCGAGAATTTTTCACTCATTCAGACGCCACCACTTTCCGGTGGAGAGCTGCAAATTTTGGACCTATATTCGGCACTCAGGGCCAGTGAGCAGTGAGGGATCTTTTTCGTGCCATCATCTACTGCGACTCGGGATCTCAGTTTATACGGTCTCATCCGAAGGCCCAGTCTCCTCGACCCACAGTGGGATTCGAACCCGCGACGTAAGGATCAATTCCTTACTCTGCGACTCTAGAGCGAACGCTTTAACCACTGCGCCACGCGAGCTACTTCAAATATGTAATTTACTTTCATTATTACCAACTTATTCCCACTTTTGGTTATGGGCCATGTGTAATTGGTCAATGGATTTAATAACTTTGGTTAAAGGATTAAGTGTTATTCAGAATCATGCAAATCTAAGATTTCCTCTTCTAGTTGTCTGTAAGTCAATAGGTAGAAATAGAATATGGGGGGGGGGGGGTTATACATTTTTCACACTTCGGGTATTTGAAAGCATATATTATTTTTGAACCCATTATATGAAAGCATACGAGGGGTGATCAAAAAGTTCGTGAACTATCTCTATAATTACAAAACCACAACTCAGACAAGAATGAAATTTGGCACACATGTAGTCATATACATGTTCTATATATAGCGTATGTTATATAATGTTTTGCTCCGTGTTTGTGACGTCACAATGTGAAAATGACGTCAATATGTAGGTGAATTGTGACAAAAAATGGTTGACTCAGTCGTACTCCAGCAACGAACGGCTGTAAAGTTTAACTTGTATCTCGGAAATTCCTTTGCATTAGAATATGATAATTTGTACAAGGTTTATGAAGACAAAAGACTTACCAAAAGTCCAATCATTAAATGGATTGATTGTTGTAGTGAAGACAGGGAGATGATTAAAAATCATGTTTGTTCTGTTGCCCAGCGAAAGTAAGCCGGTAAAAAGGTGTGTCCTTAGTTGAGCAATTTGTTTTGAAAGATCGCCAAGTTACAATTAGAAAAAATAGTTGACTATTTGAACAATAATTTAATTATGAAATCCCTAAAATATCGTTTACTTTAGACTTTTAACATATTAGATATGAAAAAAAGAAGGCGCCCATACTTTTTCAACAGTGGATAAACGGCGCTCCCGAGACAGAGGAGTCGGGTTGTGATGGTCACCATACTAATTCTAGGAAGGGATATCCTTATCCACCCATCCTATTGCCGATATTTGGCCGTTTCCGACAGATGGTCTGTTCTTGTTACAAAAAATACCGTGCATGGTAAGAAATATAAGACTCGAAAAAATCTCTTAGTTTCTGTGCACAGACCGCTACGGAGCATGTCACGTGACCGTCTGGATCACGTGATTCGCGCATGCACAGAACAATAGCAGATGTGCATTAAAATCGGAGAGGACTACTTTTAAAAATAAT